AGGATTGATATTACATAAATTCATTTTTTTCATTTCTAATAAAAGTTTTATGTTTCTTAATACTTTGCTTAACTTTCAGAATGCATCTTTTGATAATCTAATGCATGCCCTTTAGTGAGATCTTGTGTGATATTAAGGAAGTCTACTCTTCAAATTGTTTTAATTTAATGATTGTTGTTTTTCTTTTTTTTTTTACATTAAGCACCGTTTTAATACATGATAGTATTTTTTTAATTACCTATATAATACTGTAATATTGTTACTTATTACTGCCAATTCTATCCTTCATGGCTGAAGCCTGTCATACCATGCACATTATACCAAATCACTCTCATTTTCTTTGTGTTCCATTGGTGAGATGTAAGTTCAACACGAGCAATCTCTTCTCATGAACCACTGCTTTGTGGAACTTTCAAGAGGATGCTACTCTGATTACTACAATCTTAGCTTGTTCAAGTCTGGGGTTTAACTGTTATCTCTTCCATATATACCCATAAACTCTGCCTCTTAATCTGTAACTCTCTACCTTGAGTGGCTCTTGGGCTTTGTACAGAGTGAATATTATTGTAAAATATATGCTCATTCACCAATCCATGAATGTCTTTCAGTAAACTGAACTATGATTTTTATTTTTTTTTTATACACTCTTGTGACAGATGTCTTTTTGTGCTTAATGTATCTGCTGAAAATAAATTATTGTTCTTGTTTTAAAAACTTGTCATTTCTTGACTTTAATCATTTGAATCAGTTAAACATGTTGACCATGTTTGCCCTTGTCTTTGAATATAGAATCCAGTGCAGTATGTAATGTGTTAAATGGAACACAACCAATATCACTAGAAGCAGCTGTTCAATAATTCTTCAGGTCTTCGATGTCAGAGGTTGGCAGTGAATATTCGGAGAATGTAGCAGCTGTTAAGTAATTCTTCAAGTCTTCGATATCAGAGGTTGGCAGTGAAGATATTTTTGGAGAAAAAAACAAAATGGCTGACTTTATATACGTTGGATTGAATATTTTGAGCTTTCTGATTGGTTAATCCTTCTATCGGTGAACTATAAAATGAGTCAGCTCATTTTGGCCAGCTCACTAGTACTACAGGGTACTCAAAAATTCCAACAAAACATGCAAAGCAACAAGTGTGAGGGAAAAAGTCCAAACCCAGTCTCACCACTCCAAAAGGCAGGAAAGATGAGTATTATAGAAATCAGAAGTCAAAAGTCCAAGAGACAAAATAAATTAGGGGTCAATGAATCCAAGTCACAGATTTCTAACCTAGCGAACTCACTTTCACTCCTGAACCAAAAGCATGCCTTCCTTGTCCAGAAAAGCAACGGCTTTTATTGAGGAGATAAATTTTTCAATTGGATAAAAAAAGTTACTATATGTGAGGCAGTAATTATCTAGGATTTATTATTTTTCATTTTTTTTCTTTTTCCAGCAAAGTGATGATTTTCCTGTTTACCACATCATTTCACTTGATACAAGGCAATAAAGATACAAGGGGTTACTGAGAGTGAAAGAAATGGATAAAAGAATGTATAAACATAAAAATGTCTATATATATATATATATATATATATATATATATATATAAACTCACACATGCACTCCATTTATTAAAAGTGTACCACTAGGCAAAAATATATTTTTAAAAACACTTTATTTTTAAATAAATTAGTTGCTTTTAGAATAAATATAATAGGATTATTATTGAAAACATTTTATCATTGACAGGATGATGTTAATCTCTATTCTTGACTTTATATAGGTTGTTTAACAGCAAATATCATTATTGACATTTGCATTCAGACTACTACTTTCATCTTTGTTATTATTACAATGTTTCGGTCATTGTACCCTTCTTGTCTTCAGATGCCTGTTGATCTGGGTAACCTTAAGAAAATTTGACATCACTGATAAGAATCACCTTCTTGTCATAGTTTGGTTTTATGGTGACAACTTGACATTCTTTGGTATTAGGTTAACATTTGAAGTCAGTAATGGAGAAAAATGTTTGGCAAATGCTCTTAACTTCAGTTTTACAAATTTTTTTTTTTTTCTATTAATTTACTGGCTAGCTGCCACCCCCACAAAAAGAGAAAATCACAGAAAACAAAACTCTGTTGCTAAACGTGTATAATTTGCTATCCTGGACTTTGTACCCTTCTTGTACAAACAAGAAATATGAATGTGCACTGGCTAATTGGGTATCTATTTTTGTGACAAACCTACTCTGCAAATTTACTCCCCCCCCCCAATAACAACCAAGGTTGAATGAACCTAAAGAAGTCTGACTTTGTTTACCTTTGTTTGTTTATAGCCTTTAAACTGGTTGGCACTATCCCCTGTTGGTACTGAATACAAACTGGAATTAGAACATGCACATACCTTGTATTTCTGCATTTTTCTTTTTAATTTTCAGTCTGAAGCCTCTTTAAAATAAAATCCATTGGCATTAATTTAAAAAAAATAATTGAATATTTTATTAGGTTGACTTGTTTTATATTTGTAAAGTATTTTACTCTTTCAATGACATATGTAAAGAAACTAACTTTTTAATATTAAATGTTACTAGAGTTTATTAAAATATCCCTATTTTTTTTAGTGATCCTCACTGAATTGCCAAGTGTCTTGCTTAACTCTTCTACCACCTGTACATCAATACTGTAGTTGTTTTGTCTTTATGTTTACAGTTGACAAGATTTGTAACAAATCTGGACAAATTTTTGAAATTATTCAGTCTCTCTTATCAAATTGGGAAATGAAAGTTGTCTTGAATAGCCACTCTTGTACATCTTTTTTTACTAATGCATGTGATACCCTTGTTTCTATCCTTAGATATACTTTGTTCCTAATTTTCATCATTGACCTTCCTGATGGCATCAGTCCTCAGTATCTGTGCTGATTACACAACTATTTACTCCTGTCTCAAAAGTATGCATGATTGTCTTTGATAAGGCCAAATTGGCAGCTGAACTAAAAAATCACCTACATTCTTCTGTTAACTGCAGCAAGAAATACGATACTTCTTCTATTACTCATCTGAGAGACCTTCCCTCAGCATGGCTGATACTAACCTCGAGAAGAGTGACACCTTGCATCTTCTTAGGCTAAAATTCTTTGTTGACATGAAGAGGAAAGATTATAGTGAATCAATTGCTAAGTCTGCTGCTAAGAAAATTGTTTCACTGTGTCTTGCTAAACCATTTTTCTCTCCAGAATCTACCTTCCATATAAGTCTACTATTCACCTAGATTTTTAATGTTACTGCTACATATGGCCTGGTGCTCCTGCACCAGAGATTTAGAGATTCTTCGTAAAATCCAAGGAAGAATCCACACAATTATTGGTCCTGAGCTGGCATCTTGGTTTCAGTCACTTTCCCACCGCTGTAATTAATGCAGCTTCCTTGTTTTTTTTTGTTTTTTTTTTTGTATAAATAGTTTCATGTTAATTGTTCAGATGAACTTTCCTCTATGGTACTTAGATTTTATAAATTTAAACTCGGTACTATATTGGCAACAAGGTTTCATCAATCTACAGTTGAAGTGGCTAGATGCAACTGTAAGTTCTATGCTGATAGTTTCTTCTCTTGCACTTCTCACTTGTGGAACCCTTCTGGCTCCTAACTTTCTAGCAAAAAATTGATCGGCAAAAATTTAAATGCAACATCAATTATTATGTACTGTCTTCTGGATTCCTCTTGTATTGATCTTGCTAATGTTTTTCTCTCTCTCTCTCTCTCTTTTCTTTTCTTTTTTTTTTTTTCACATATTTTCTTGCTGGTTTGTTTTGAAAGTAAACACAACTACTTTTAGATATATTCATGTAGCTGTTTTAGGATTTAGTGATAATTAATAGCCAGTTTAATTTCTTTTTTTTTTTTTTTTTTTACTAAAATAACCTTGTGCTTCTATTGTAAAGTAATACTTAGTGATTTTAATTAGTAAGTAGACCTAATGGAATGTTTATTACAGAGTGCCACACTGTTGTGGCTTTGTTCTAGAATAAGTCACTAAGATTCCTTAGTTTGAGTAAGAATTATACTTTATGTGAAAGTAAAATAAAGTAAGATATATATACTTTATATAAAAGTAAGTAAAATCAGTTCAATCACTGAAGTTAAGCAGCATTGAGCCTTGTCAGTACCTAGATGAGTAAACACTTGAGAATACCAGGTGCTGTAAGCTTGGATGTGTGGGTGGTGTAATGGATAATGGCTCAGAATTAGAATTTGGAGAGAAATGTTCCAATTCCAGTCCTATTCACCTATGCCCAAATACCCTTGGGAAAGGTATGAATTCACCTCTTCACCCTCCAACTATGGGTTAATTAGTAGGACTTGTATCAGTAAATCATTATCTTAAAAAAAAATCTCTTATGATCTAAAATTACCTCCTGGCTTTAAATAACCTGCAAAAATTAAATCAATTAAAAACGACCTTTAGATTGTCGGTGGCAGGGAAGTAAAAAACAGTTTCAGAAGTATGAGAAAAGAAACTATTAGTATAGAACTTACAATTATCTTTAGCTATTTCAGTATTAAAACAATGAGACCTAATAGCCAATCCAGTAGTTAAAGGGTTAAAATAATATTTTATGGATATTGTGCAGATATTTTGTTAACTTGAGATGTCATGAATCCACAAGTCTGAATGTCCCCCAGTAATGATCCCTCCCTGTGGTGATGGTTGAGTTATGTTGGCTTTTTAACCTTTATGTTAGGGAAGAGTGTTTATATGTATTCAAGGAAACTGGATTTTGTTATGGATTTTGCATTATTTCCAAATGATTAACGTTTTTTTTTTTTTAATAGGTGATTTTTTTTTTCTCATGGTAATTGGTTTGTTATATATACAATCTGACTTATGAGAGGGACTAAAAATGAGTTTATAAATTGGAAAATCTAAAGTTCATTGTGGAATCTGTTTTGAAGGGAAAATTTTGGAATTCATTTTTTAGACTGAGACATAATTTTTATTTGTTTTATCTTTTGCAGAGCTGCTGATCTTACACATATTATGTTCCGAATGGGCCTCTTGGCTGTACTTCGCTCAAAATACAAGAAAGGTATCAGTATATATAATGTGTTATTTGTTGATATACTACAGTAAGAGAATTAAAAATTCTTTTCATTGTTTTAACTCGATTGAATTTATTTAATAACAGCTTACAGCTGATTCACATTGAAACCCTAGTTCCTGTATAGTCACCAAAGTTAAACAGCATCAAGCCTGATTGATACCTACATAGGTGACCGCTTCGATGTGCTGGTGGTGTAAATGGATAAAGACTCGCAATTGTTAATTAGAGAGCAGTGTTTCAATTCCTGTTGAGTTCATTATAGTTACTTATGCATAAATACCCTTGGGAAAGGTATGAATCCACATCTTCTCCCACCAGCTATGGGTTAATTAGTTAGACTTGTATCACTAAGCCCTCATATCTTCACACCAAAACAATTCTTACAATCTAAAAATATTTTCAGGCTTTAAATAACCTGCAAAGGCTTAAGCTGTAAAAAAAAAAAAGAATCAATCACTCAACCAATTTATTTGATATTTATTGGAAATTTGTAAATATTTTAAAAAAAAAACAGAAAAAAGTAATCTAATTGACTTGTAGCTTAATGAATATCTATGAAGAATTTTGCTATGACTAAATTTGAACTTTGCTTGGTCATGAGCACTTTTTGCTTTGATAAAAAAAAAAATCAGAATGAAAATAATTAAATTATATGACAAAAAAATAGTACTGACTTTTCACTATAAAATCAAAAGCAGCTTAAATTCTATTTAATTTTATTTTATTTAACAACTTTTAAAGAGTAGCCATGATTTTTTTGTAAAGCATTTTCATTTTATTGTTGTTTCCAAAAAGACTTGATTCCCATATTCCCAAACTTTCCATCCTACAACTTTCTTTAGGAGCAGATATTGTTTGATGAAATAACTATGTATGATTACTGAAGTTAAGCAATGTTCATTCTGGTCAGTACCTAGATGGGTGAATACCAGGTACTGTAATCTTGGAGAGGAAAGTTCCAATACCTGTTGGGTTTGTTATACACAAATCTCCTTAGGAAAGGTATGAATAATAATAATGGATAATTATTAGTAAAACTAGTATCACTTACCCATTGCCTCAAAAAAAATAATTCTTACACTCTAAAAAAAAAAAAATTTTCTGGCTTTAAATAACCTGCAAAAGGGGTTGATATACCTTAGTAAACAAATCAATCAGCCATTTGCCAAATGCATTTAGGTTAACCTTTTAATTTTTCACAAAGAAATTACATTATTATAAAACTTCCTTATAGGAAGACTTCAGTTTTTGAGGATGATTGAACGATAAATTCCTGTTAGAAATTCCAATGCATTTGACTGCTTTAGGTTTGTGACATTCTGGCTGGAGATTCGCCCAAACTACATGCTAACATTCATCTGCTTGTTGTAAATTATGTATTAGATCAGAAGCAGTCATCTTCAAAAAAGAGAAATTGGAAGCACCTGATAAATAATCATCATTGTGTTGCAGTGTAATGTGAGAACATGTTCTCTGTATTGTGCAGATCATATGCTCAATTTCATTTTAAAGTGACTGAAATAATTCTCAAAGTCTTCTATAATAAGCCTAGCCAGCCTACCCTATATAATTCTATAAGACTTGGCAGCCTTCCCTGTGTAAACAGAAGGAATGGTTGCTTGGTCTGCATTTAAATATACTATTACTAATGTGTAAATAAATCTGCATTTAAATATACTATTACTAATGTGTAAATAAAATAAATCCTAAAGAGCCAGGAACAACCTACCTAGGTTTCCACTTAAATGGATCTTCAGGGTAAACTGTTCCTGGCTCTTTAGGATTTATTTTATTTATTCCAGCTCTACTTAGAGTATTGAGCATTCTGTTTTAGCTTTGTTACTCACTTGAGTCTTTTCTTTAGACTAAAAGCTTAAGGCACTTGATGATTTGTTTTGCCTTGTTCGGGTGTTTCTAGTTATTTTTTTTTTTTTTTTTTTTTTTTTCAATTTGTTCCTCAGGTACGATTTTGTCTTGATGTACTTGCAAGTTGTGCTATCCAAGGTTTTTTACCTACCGAGTACTACTATTAGTATAATTATTACTAATGTGTGTATTTTATTTTTAATCGGTACATAGGTTTAGTTTATTGTCCTTGATAAAATTTTAATAAACGAGAAAATAAATCAGTTCACTAAAGAATTGTTTTCATGCTTACTTTTCCTCTTGTTTTTTAATATTATTTATGTTAAAATTTAGGAAATGCTAATATAACATTACAGGAGATAGTTTTCCATTTATGGCCTTTTGAATATGTATTTTAAATAGCTGGCTCACCCTACATAAAATACACATATATCGCACTTCAGTAGAAGTGCCTTGTGTAGCCAGCACTTTATTGAAAAAAAAAAAACAAAAAAACAACTAATTTTTGAAATGTACTGATATTAAAGCAGATATGCAGGTTGTGTAATAGTTATTAACATCAAAAGTTCAGATTCCAGTTTAGTGTTTACATTCACTTTTGCATTTCTTTTAGCTATGGGTTAAATAACATGGTAGACTGGGCTCTCTAATTTTGGTTGGAAACTAGTCTAGGAGAAGGAAAACTGAAAATAAAAACAATAGACAAGGCATGGGAAACCACTCCACTATCTTTTCCAAAAATGCATGACTGTGGTGAGCCATAAGAAAAAGGAATCTTATATTTATATCACTAGCTGCCAAGAACAGTGACTTCGAGATGACACTGATGGCTCTACACAGAAACCATGGTAATGTCCCCCACCAATTATGCCAAAGAAATTATAACGTTAATTATTCAATACCAAAAAAAAACAAAAAAGTAATCAGTATATTTAAAAAAAAAAATAAAATAAATAAAAAACACTGATGTAGTAAAAGTAAGGTCAAGAGGTCATTCCTCAACCAATATCTAACAACTACCCTTTTGCTCTATGGCTTGAGCAATATGTCTAACACGTCTCTGGAAGTAGTGGCATTGACCATGAGGTCCTTCAAAATGAAGTTATGTAGCATGTTATAACCCTCATTGATCACAAACCCCACAACCATCACAAATTATTTAGAGAAGTGTTTGTCAATTATTTTGAAAATTATTTCCCCTATTTTTATTGTATATTGTAGGTGGGGATGAACCAAATTGTTTTTTTGTTTTTGTTTGAATTGTTCTTGCATTCTAGTTTGAAAATTTGCTGGGTGAAGGAACAGTTTCCTTTATTGCTAATGTTATTAAACCAATTGATTGTTGTTTTAGTATTTTTCCATTGGTTTATGTTTAGTATATTTCTTAGTTTTGAGTATATTTTTTTTCTAGTATTTGTTTCCTTATTTTCCCAAATTTGCTTTTGGTGAGGTTTAGTAATTTGCTTGTTGTTTTGGATTTGAAATTGCCCTTATGGTCTATTAATTTAATAAATGATTCTATTTTAGCTAGTTGTTTTAATCTATTGTTTAATTTTAGTTTAGTAGCTATATTTTTAGCTTCTTTGTTTATATCACTTTCTGTTATTGGTTTTGTAAAATTTAGTGACTTTGTCAACTAGTTTTGTTGTAATTGTTGGTTTTCATTTTATAGATTATCCTGGATTTATCTGTCTTTATAAATAGTTTTTTTTTTTTTTTTTGAGTTGTTTATCATTTTTTTTTTTTTTGATCTTTTTCATGTCTTTTTATGGAAATTATTGTTGAATTTTCTTATCAAATTACAGATTATGTTTGCTAAGTCATTTTCAAAAGTGAAATGAGGTTGTTGTGTTGTGGTGGGCATTTCATTGATGTAAATCCAAGTTCGTTAATATTACTGTTATTATCACTGTTGTGGTTGTCACCATTGTCATTGTGTTTGTTTAGGAAGTAGAATACCTTCCTTCTTAGATGTTTTATAAAGTGTTCTATTTTTTCTGTGAGCTCATGTATGTTTGATGTTTGTATATTTTTTAAGGAGTGGTTAAATTGCATTGATTCTATGTTGATGTAAGATAGTGCTTATATTATTATTAGTATTTTTTTTTTTTTTTTTTAGAAAATATAATTACAGAATTGAATGCTGAGAAAAAGTGCAAAAGTACTCAACTGAAAATGATTTTTAGGAGCTAAGGCTATATATATATATATATATTTCATAGCCTGAATGAATTATATTTCTTTTATTAAAACAGCATTATATATATATATATATATATATATATATATATATATATATATATATATATATATATATTTCTTACTACTAAAACAATATTTTTAGTAAGTGCATGTGTTTGAGTTGCTATCACTGTTTATTATTTTTATTAAACAATTGGTCTAAATGGAGAAATCCCACAAAAGAAAAATTGTTCCTTTGACAGGGATCAAAACTCCATCCCTTTCTCTGATGAAAAAAAGGGATGGAGGTTCAAATTCCTGTCAGAGGAACAATTTTTCTTTAGTGGGTCTTCTCAGTTTAGACCAATTATTAATTTCACTGTTTAAATATATAATTTACTCAGGTTATGAAATATATATAATGCAGTTTTAATAAAAAAAATATAATTGACTAGGATGATGTATTGAAAGTGCCATTATTTACAAATTGCCTACAATTAATGAGTGGGCTATTTCAGTTTATCACAGGTTCTTACTAAATTAATATTGAACCATTGAGAATTGTAAACCTTAGAAAAAAATTGAGTTGGAATTAGTTAAAATCTAATTTCTATAATACAGTTGACGTAATTATCTTAGAGAATCTTTTTTTTTTTTTTTTTTTTGCCTTTCATCAGCGTGGCTGATGCTAACCTCCAGGAGAGTGACTCCTTGCACCTTCTTAGGCTAATGTTTTCCACTGACATGAGATGGAATGATTATATTGAATTAATTGCTAGGTCTTCTGCTAGGAAAGTTGGTTCACTGTGACAATTTTTCTCAACAAAATCTATTTTACACTTTTATAAGTTTACCATTTGTCCATGCATTGAATATTACTCTTACATTTGATCTGAGGCTTCTACTATGTATTTAGAGATTATTCACAATATCCAAAG